TGGAAAAAAGAGAGAGAGAGAGAGAGAGAGAGAGAGAGAGAGAGAGAGAGAAGAAAGAGAGAGAGAGAGAGATAAAAGAAAAATGAATGCCTAGAATGAGAAGCGACTATAAAAGAAAGAAAGTTGCGATATCTAAGGGATAAGGAACAAAGAGAAAGAAAGAGAGAGTGAGATAGAAAGGATGAGTAAATGGAGGGTGCAGGACTGGGAACGCGAGACGATTCCGGGAGTCGAGGGGTTGCTGCAGTTGGTGGCACGGAGGGATGAAATGGGGGAAACATTCGCCCGGGCTCCGGCGGCTGGTGTCGGAGTTGGGTTGATACACAAGGGGCCCATGCCAGAGAGTGTGCGCCGGTAATTGCGAGCTCTATGTAGATCCACTTACAGTGATTAAAAACTGTCCTGCTGGGTATCATCCGTGGCGGAACGACGCATCAAGGACAAGAGGAGAAGGCAACGACCAGGATGCACGCCAAGAATAATTCCGTCACGTCTCGCAGCCACGTCATTTCGCACTCGTCCAGACAACAATCTCGTTTTATATAATAGCTCCGCGACCATTGTGGTTCGACTGTTACGGTGAAAAAAAAACGGATATATATACTTTTCTCATGCTATTTTCTAAAATGAATTCCTATTATTACACTTGCAATCTAAGAATATAACGTAATTGTAGTTAGAGACTCGTAGAAAATTATTATATTTAAAAAGAACGAAGAGACTTCAGATTTGATCAAAAACTTTTCATAAAAAAATATCGATTCAATTTTAAAGATTTTGAGATTTACAGTTTCCTTTTTATTAATGATTTTTCTTTAAAATATTTACATTAGTAATATTTGTGTAAAAAAACACAGTAAACAGATTTTTGCAAAAAATATTAGATAAAATATGTAATCAATAGTGTAGATGTATATAAGAATAAGCATAATGTACAAAATTAATCATACATAGATTTAGTATAATCACTTCTCTTGTATTTCATCTTACTATACGTACTGTATACGGACTGCAGTGGTCCAGACTTTCAATTAAGGAAATAAGTTTAGGGTGAAGGCGCATCAGCCTGCCATCTCAGTCTTAATTACAGCCTGCTTCGTGTAGCATGGAGACATTCACTTTTATTGGTACTATCGTCGAAATGACTCCATTACAAATTAATTAGATACACGAAACTTAATCCCGATGAGAAAGAAAGACGAAAGGAAGAGACAGAGAGAAAGAGAGAGAGAGAGAGAGAGAGAGAGAGAAGAGAGAAAA